TCGACCAAATAAAAAGAAAAGAAAAAGAAAAAGCTTTGTAATTTCCAAAGGAGGAGTGATATTGGCAAGGCTGTAAATAGTCATTTGAACTTGTCCTCTCCAAATGAGACAGCCAGATGTGAATGTACATTTAACTGATGAATATGTTTCAAGATCACTGGAGATAAAGAAGTAGGAGAAGGCAGCAATGATGCCAGTATGCTATTTCCTGAGCTTAAACACAGAACAAAGTGCTAATAACTTATATATCATTTTACTATTTAAGAGCACTTTTATATACTTTATTTCATCTCTTCCTCAAATCCTTGACAATTGGTCAGGTGCAGTGGATCATGCCTGTAATCCCAGTACCAGCACTTTGGGAGGCTGAGGTGAGCAGACTGCCTGAGCTCAGGAGTTCGAGACCAGCCTGGGCAACACAGTAAAACCCCATCTCAATTAAAAAATAAAAAAGCCAGGCATGGTGGTTTGCATCTTTAGTCCCTGCTACTTGGGAGGCTGAGGCAGGAGAACTGCTTGAAACCAGGAGGTAGATGTTGCAGTAAGTCAAGATCATGTCACTGTACTCCAGAATGGGCAACAGAGCAAGACTCCATTTCCAAAAAAAAAAAAAGAAAGAAAAAATCCCTGACAATTGTGTTCTATATACATTTTTCATGTGAGGAAACAAAGGCTCAGATAGGTTAACATTAATGTCATAGAGCTAACAGTGGGCTTTAAACTCAGATGTAAATGATAATAAATAAGACACTTCAAGAAGAAAAGTATGATTATGATTTAAAATGACCTTAGTTCCTACAGCTTCTGTGGGTGGAGGGGAAAACGAACAAGACAATAAAATAAAATAACCTTAGAAAAGTATTTTTCATAGTTTCTAATCAAGTACTTCAATCAGTAATTCACTATAAAAGACTTTCCTTCCCAGTTAAATACTAAATAATAATTTCAATTTGCCACCAAAATTACTAATAGATCATTCATTTCAACTACAAAGACTAAAAATATGCACCATATAATCAGACACCTTACATTTTTAAACAGAATAACATAATTAAACTATTAACAGAGTGAAGAAAGATGCTTTCACTGGCAACAGTAACTTACAATCTTGAGAAATCTGTGCATAAGGTTGCATATTTAACTTAAAATCTTTCCTCTTTATGTTCAAGTTTCTACTGTTTCAAATACACAGCTTATTGTATTCCCATTGCCTATTTTTTAATCCTTTATCAGAAAGCATCTTTTTGAATTCTGATTGTTCACCTTCCATCTTTGAGTTACAGATTGATACAGTCTTAGCAAACTAGTTCTCAGTTTCAAAGATCCCAAAGTAAACCAGAGCAAGACACATTAAGGGAAATGCAACACTTGGCTTGAACCCTGATGAAGATTCTATTAAAAAGGGGGAAAATTTTTTAATAGTTCTTCTTCCATTAACAACAGAAGGTAACATCTGTACCTTCCCAACTTGCCTTACTTTCAGTTCAGAATCAACAACAAAAAGAATTCAAATAGATGACAATAAAAATATAACTGAATTCAATGAGAAAAAAATCCCTTATTACTTCAACTGCAAATTAAACTTACCCAGTCAGAACTGTAGATGTTCCATTTCCTTCTCACTCATAGTAGTCCAGTCTGCTCAGACAAGTCTACCATACAAATGAATAGGCAATGTATATCCTAAGAATCGAGAGTCTCAAAAACTGAATCATAAGGCACCAAACAAAAGTATACTCAATCCCTTCCCTAGCCTCCCCTAATCCTCCTTTGGGATTGCAACTCAGGGGATGGATAGAAGGGGGAAAGCTATTTCCAAAAAAGAACTTCCTACTTTATGAGTCATGGTAGAAACAACTAGAGACAAAAACAGTGGTTCCCCCTTCAACAAGCGCAATCTTCTCAAACATAAAACAAATTCTTCAGAAATAATTATAAAATTCTTCAACAGGAGCACCTCATAAACATAATACTATCTCCTCTTCTTTCATTTCCTATGTCAGAGAGAAGCAGGGATTGGATGAAGAGTTTTTAAGCCTAGCTTGACCCGAGATGACTGAGCTAAAATGAAGAAAATCAAGTCTGCGAATTCCCAAAGCAGTCCTGATAAAAAACCAGTATTCTATGTAGTCTCTGAACAAGTTATGATACATTTAACTATAAAAGGTGGACCTCTTTGTAAAACTGCACAATACACAAATGGGTTTTAATCAATTCATCTTCCTTTTCAAAATTCTCTCCCTTACCTAACCTAACCTCCTGTCATCCTTATCCCCAGCGAGGACCCTCAACTTGCCCTCTATACACCTAAAAACCATCTCTCACTTAGGTTTGACCTCTAGCACTCTCATTCCCCACAACCCAACTAGGTATGAATCAGATTATGTGCTTAAATTACTTCACATTAATGGGTAAATGAGGCTTAATCCACAAAGGTCAATTCCACTCATGTTATTAAACTCTACTATGCATAGGGCACTAAGTTTAATGTACCTATTCCTCTTACAAGAAAAACACAAATCAATCTTTTAATGAACAATGTAAGGGAGGGGCACAAGAGTGTTTGCTTCACATCACACTTTCTCCAGCTATTTCTTTCCATCCTGTTGCCAAACCCTTCCAACCTCCATCTGGCATGGTATAAAATCCAGTTATTTTAATTCCAGTAAAAGTCATGCCTAGGAAGACAATGTGGGATAGCAGAGAAAACAATAAACATTCAAATCCTGAGATGGACTGTAGAGCATCTCTTGTATTTAATTTTATATATTAGCTGCAAGTGCAATAAAGAGCTTCTAAATAATCCAATTTCTGTACAAGATACCTATAAATCAGCTTTGCTCAGAACTGAGTTATTAAACCATAAATATTGTGACTTTTTTCTTCAGTTATTTTCACAGTTAAAACAGTATAGTAAACCCCAGTTCAATTTGCCCTACTATGCTTAACAGCCATTAAACTTTACTGTTTACAATTAGACGTGACATTTTTCCCAAGACCCCTTAAGTTTGAAACTTCAAACTTGCTTTAAACCTTTTTTTGAGACATAAAATTTATGAATTCTGATCTACAGTACAGCTTCTAAACTGGAGAGCCGAAAACAACTATAGACAGGTTTGGGTTTGATTCAGTCGCAAAGTATTTTTAATGGTTTAATTGTCAAGATTTTTTTCCTTTCTTTTTTTTTTTAAACAGGATGTGCCCAATGCCAACAGTTGTCAATATTATTAAAAAGCAAGACACTGCATGCAAAAATCTAGATTTCTGGGTTCTCTTGACAATGCTGAGGATGGGGTCCATATTCATATATGGCACTGATTAGGCAGACCTGAGAACTGGATGTCTCTCTGATAAGGCATAGTGCAGCTCCCTCATTTTAATTATCTGACTAGTACCCGAAGGCATGTGAGTTTGTTGCTCATGCTATGGCTTTGAAAGGTGCATAATATTTACCGTATCACTTCCATACTTCCCTAAGTCACTTATTATAAAAAAACAAAAGAAGACCACAGTGGTTTGCAAATCGATAGTTAATAATTTTAAAAATTCACACAGCTTTGAAAGAAGAAAATTCAGACTCGTGGGAAGGGTAACATCATTACAGAGGGATAAAAGTCCATTTGAAAGCTTTTTTGAGAGTAAGAAAAATGGTGAAAGAACACAAAAACATCGTTGAAACACTAAAAGCTTTCCTGATTGAACACTGTTACTTTACTCTCTGGTGGTTCCTTACCACGTTCCATGCTTCAGAACCTCCCCTCCTACTTTGTACGTATTGACATAATAGCAGTTAGGTCACACACGCTGAGAAATCTTGGGAAAATTTGTAAAACACATTTACATCATCAGAAATAATGCTTCTCACATTTTTTTTAACAGTCTTAGTCCACTTTCAAATCCCATCCCAAGTATTTTACTGCTTTCAGCTTTATATTCAAATGACAACTGTAGTTCTGGGTTTCAGGCCTGAACTTCAATCTTTTTGCCCTTCAACTCTTTTGGCCCTTATGGCTGCATTATTAAATCTCTTATTCCGATTTCTACAGTCTCTTTCATTGAAAATGTATTCCTAACCCCCTCTCTAAAAGATTTTGGTCAAATTCGTGTAGTTGGGGGTTGGGAGGATAGAGGCGGGAAGGAACTCAATTGTCCAAATACAATCAATATCGTGTGCTGTTTCATTAAGATTGCTAATTCAAATAAAAAGCATGAAAACTCTGAAATATAATACATCTTCATAAAATAATCTTGTTTGCTAAGTGCACAAAGCCACAAGCAAGTGAAGCTCTATCTTTCAGCGCGTCTGGACAAGTGACTTTTCATCATGGACTCAGAATACAGAGGAGAAAGGAGAAGCAAGAAATCTGTGAGGCCCAGGGACAGTCACAGTAGCCCACACTAACAAATTACTAAACGATGTCTCACCTTCCCCCGCCCCACTCCCAAAGATAAGGGTGTCAGGGCACCTGCATCTTAAGAAGAAAGACATCAGAACCTTTTCCGTGCAAGTTTTGGGAAAACAAAGCTTTACCATACGTGAAAAACGGTTAACAGCATAAAATCACGCAGCACATTAGTGGGGTCTCACTCTTCACCCAGAGGGAGGCTTCCCACCACCTTATCCCCTATTGTGATGCGCCCTCCTCAGGAAGTCTGCGTCCGTAGGAGATGACAGGGAAGGGGCGGGGCACGGGGTTCCTCCACCCTGGAAAGAAGGGATGAGGGTATCGCCTTCATCCGCAGGAAAGGCCTCCGGACTCGTAACTCAAAAGCTGCAACCCAAAAACTCAAGCCCCATCCCGGTCTCTTCTAATTGGGTGCCGGTGGCCGGAGCCTAAAACGCCACGCACGGTCCCCGAGGAGGGTCCGGCCGCCAGACCACCGCCACAGCAGTTCGGCTCTCACGCCCAGATTCGCCCTCCGACCCTTTCCTCTTTCGCCCCGGCCAAGCCCAGCCTCCCGCGCCGCCCCCGCCGAGTTCCCCAGCTGAGTACACTCACTCTCGAACCTGCAGTCCCTCTTCGGTGCCCACAGAGAACTGGAGCAAAATCCGAGGCCGGTGACACCTCCACTCCTCCTCAGCCAGATCCCTGTGGAGGTGGCTGTGGAGGCGGCCACTGAGGCAGCTGCGAGTATCAGAGCCGCACCGGCAGGTTGCAGGCCGGCTCCTCGCCTCTTCTCGCGAGAGCTCTCCGAAGAGGCGAGGCCAGCCACTTTCTCGCGAGAACGGTGCTCTCCGCCCAGGGATGGGCGGGGCACCGAGGGAGAAGGCAGTTGAGGGCGCGGCGGACTCCGGTGGGCTCTCAGCCTCCTTGCTGGCTGCGCGGAGACTAAGGCGCCGCGCGACCTCTCCTCACAGTCAGTAGCTCGGAATCAGCCTCGAGCCCGAGTGTCTGAGGCCTGTTACCCTTAAACCTTTGAATCCTACGTTTTCCCCTTGGCTTTCCGTCACCGTTATAGGAAAGCGGACAGCGTCTCGGTCACAGAGTCGGAGAAATAACGCAGGGACTCTTTAAGGGAAGCGTTTTCCTCATCAAACTCCAAAATCACTTCTGTCGCGTGGACCGGCCGGAATTGATGAGAGGCGGTTGTCGTGAGGGACACCCACTGTTCTCTAGTGTTCCCCGCTGCTTATTTTTAAACGCTCGGTTGGCGGGAACTTGTGTGCCAACTGGCATTCCTTCAGTTTGGCCTCCTGTGAAACCTCGAGAGTCACCTACAAGGGCTGGCTGGGCAATAAAAACAGGAAAAAATTTAAAAGACACTGTCTCCGTCCTCGAAGCTTACACCCTGGGGGCGAGACCTACAGGAAAATAGATAATCCCATTATTCTCTGATAAAAGGGGAGCTGCTTGCAGTGAGCTCTGGGAGAGACATGGAGTAACCGGCTGCTCCCAGGGCCGTGTTGAGAAAGCCTTCACCAGGGAGTGACATTTGAGCTGAATCTTACGCATGAGTAAGTTCTCCAGTTTTGGGAAGAGAGGGAAGGGCGTTGCACGGAGAGGAAGCAAAGAGGAAGATGACCTGATTGGTGTATGAAAACAGATATTGCAGCAAGAACTTTCTTGAAAAACCTTTAATCACTGTTTAGTTCGGATGAGAAAATTCCCAGGCTCCTACGGGTGATACCCAAAGTCTTTTCCAAATCAATGTTTATGCTGATGAGCAGTTGAGCTGGACAATTATAGGATAGCGAGCTTCATCTTCCTCCTGTAAGGACACTTAGATGTCAGAAACCTAAGAGAAACAGGTTATCCTCATAATTCACTAAGTTGTTATAGCCAACATTTTACTAAATTGGAAATTGCCAATAATCTTTCAAGTTGTCTCCATAAGAGCAATCTAATAGGAATTTTGTGATTCGAGTATTCTCACAGAGAAACTCATTAAATTCTCAGGCAAAAACAACAACAAAAACGTCACCAGACTTGATTTATTGTCAAAATTTTCTCCTGGAAGCTGTGCTCAAGAGAAGTCATTCTGTAGACTAAGTTAGGGCTAAGAAGTTCTGTCAAACAGGAACTATTATCTTATATCAAAACAGAAGCTGTCCTTTTCTAAAGAAAGGCTCTGGTATTTTGCTATAGAGTTTCCACTCACCTTCTTTTAGACACATTATTTTCACATTATTACATATAAAGTAATATGTATATTATAGTTTTAATTGGCTTACCCTACTATCCCTACAAATAAGCCCAACACTTAGTAGGAAAACAAAAAAAATTATTCAAACCCTGTTGAATCTATGTCCCCACCTGAATCTCATGTCGAATTGTAATCCCCAGTGTTGGAGGTCCTTGGATCATGGGGGCAGATTTCCCCATTGGTGCCATTCTGGAGACAGTGAGTTTTGGCGAAATATGTTCTTCAAAAGTGTGTGGTGCCTCGTCAACCCTCCCTCCTCCTCCCACCATATAAGACATACGTGCTTCACCTTGGCTTTTCGCCATGATTGTAAGCTTCCTGATGCCTCCCCAGAAGCGCAGCAGAAGCCCTTGAGCTTCCTGTACAGCCTGTAGAGCCGGGAGCCAATTAAACCTCTTTTCTTTATAGCAGTACAAGAATGGACTAATGCACCTGCCATAGGCCAGTTGGGTGCCCTGTGCCCTGCATTATTTCACATCAAGTTCTTGGAATTTTCCAGGAAGCATTAGAAGAATCATATGAATAAAAGATTTCAGGCAAAATATGGAATCTTTGTTCCATGCTGGAATCTTTTCAAACCACCATGCCCTACTTGGATGGGTCCCGGAGCCATTTCATTCTACAGTTCTTCAAGAACAAAAGAGAATGGGGGTTGGGAGCAAGTAGAAAATTGAATAAAGTTCCTACTGTTCTTTGCTTGGAAAGAAAATTAACCTTTCAAGTATTAATATAGTAGCAATGACAACAGTTATACATTTGGTAGGTAATGCCATTGATTTAGACAATAACAAATCTGCTCTACACAATAATTTGTAAATTCTAGGCTAAGGTTCAGAACTTTAATGAAAAGTCTTTCTTCCACACACCAAACAGGTCAATACAGAAATAAAGAGAAGTTTCATATAGTAAGTGAACAAACAAGATCATTTGATAGTTTGTATTATAGCATGCTGAGGCAATATTGTTTCAAAGCAGATGAGACCACAGACCCAGAATCCTGTTTAGTTTTTAAAACCTGGAATATTTTTGTACTACTAAGTTTGAGCACTGCCATCTAATGGTAGGAACAGGAAAATCACGTACCTGCAAAAATAACTCTATCCTATTCAGCAAATGCATTTATTAATCAAAACCCTATGCAAAAATACCAAAAAAGCTGTGCACTGTGGCATGTGCCTATAATCCCAGCACTTTGGGAGGTGGGAGGATCATTTGACAGGAGTTTGAAACTGACCTGGCAACGTAGCAAGACTTTTTCTCTACAAAACTAAAAAGTAAAAATAAAAAGAATACTAAGAGAGATACAGATATTATTATACATATTCTGATAAAATGAGACATATAACTAAATAACAAGGGGAAAATAAGTTGGGTCATAAATAGAAATAATATGTTATGGGCAGAGAAAGATAAAGATTACTTTTTTTTTTTTTTTCTTTTTGAGACAGAGTCTCACTCTTGCCCAGGCTGAAGTGCAGTGGCATGATTTTGGCTCACTGCAACCTCTGCCTCCCTGGTTCAAGCGATTCCCCTGCCTCAGCCTCCCGAGTAGCTGGTATTACAGGCATGCACCACCACACCCGGATAATTTTTTTATATTTTTAGTAGAGACAGGGTTTCACTACGTTGGCCAGGCTGATCTCAAACTCCTGATCTGAAGCAATCCACCTGCCTCTGCCTCCCAAAGTGCTGGAATTACAGGTGTGAGCCACCACACCCGACCATAAGATTACTTATTTTTGTTTATTCATTTTTGAGAAGACAAAGATAAAGATTACTTATTTTTATTTATTTATTTTAATAACTTTGATACAAAAAATTACTTCTAACTGAAGAGATTAGGGAAGTACAGAAAAGGGAGAGGAAAGGAATGATGTCTAATGTGGACCTTAAAGAATAGAATTTATGCATAAGGAGATAATAGGAAAGAACATTCCTATGGAGAGACCAACAAAGACATACAAATGGCTAAAAGTAAGAATCATTATAAGAGGACCAATGAGCAATTAAAAGGAATGAATAGGAAGTAATATGAGAAAGGTAGATTTAAATTGAAACATAGGACCTGGAATATTAGGGTAAAACAGAGGTCTGAAGACTTTTTTCTGAAACTTGTTAGCTTGCAATAGGGTAAAAATCTCAGAAGTTTTGGGTTTTAACAAATTCTATTAGACTTTTTTAGTGGAAACTGACAAAATAATCCATAATTTACATAGAAATGCAGAAGACCCAGAATAGCCAAAAGATTTATGAAAAAGATAAGCAAAGTAGGAGAACTTACACTTTGAGATTTTTAAAAATTTAGGCCAGGCAGGTGGCTCATGCCTATAATCCCACCGTTTTGAGAGTCCAACGAGGAAGGAATACTTGAGCTTAGGAGTTCAAGACCAGCCTGGGAAACATAGTAGTACTTCATCTCTACAAAAAATTTTAAAATTAGCTGGGAAGGGTGGCATATGCTTGTGGTCCTGACTACTCAGAAGACTGAGGTGGGCAGATTGCTTGAGCTCAGGAATTTGAGACCAGCCTGGGCACATGTCTCTACAAAAAATAAAAATAGGCCAGTTGTAGTGGCTCATGCCTGTAATCCCAGCACTTTGGGAGGCTAAGGCAGGAGGATTGCTTGAGCTCAGGAGTTCAAAACCAGCCTGGGTAACATAGTGAGACCACAATTCTACCTGCAAAATTTTTTTAATAAGAAAAGAATATTAGCAGTGTGAGGGGGTCACATGCCTGCAGTCCCAGCTACTTGGGAGGCTAAGGCAGTAAGAACCCTTGATTGCTTGAGGCTACACTTAGCCATTTTCATGCTACTACTCCAGCCTAGGCAACAGAGCAAGACCTTGTCTCAAAACAACAACAGCAACAACAATTTAATGCAATGCTACAGGAATCAAGATATCAAGATAGTATGGTATTGGCACAGAGCTAAGCATATAGAGCAATGAAATAAAAATGAGAGTATAGAAATAAACACTTATATTCATGATCAATTGATTTTCAACAAATGTGCCAAGAAAATTAAACAAAGAATGGATACTCTTTTCAAAAAATGGGACCTGGTACCAAGGCAATTGGATATTCATATTCAAAAAAAAGAAAAAAGAAGAACTTGCATCTTTACTGATGCCAGATTTTTCTCCATCACTTTTCCAGCCAGAGACCAGCCAGCAATGCCCCTTCCCAGGCCTTGCTCAGGCCTGGGTTTGCCACAGGAGATGCCTCATCTACTTAGCTTGCTGGGTCACACCTGGCTTGTATCCCGGCATGTATCCCGTGGCCACAACTGCATGCTCAGACCCTGGAAGAAGGGGGTGTGTGAGTGAGCAAGTGTGGGCTGGGACAGCTATTCCAAGCACCAGCACAGGAGTGGGCTCTGTGCAGGGCTTGTGGCTGGAACAGGTGTGTCACACTAAGGGGAACACAGTGGCATACAGGCAGGGGTACCCCCAACCCCAAAGCCCCAGAGGGGGTGTTATAGCATGCTAATTAGCTCTTTTAGTCCTGCCTTTTGCAGCCGGACAGATGGCAGCACATTAACAGCTCTGTCAGCCCTGTTCTGTTGCCCAGCTCCAGCCCCGTGGCTCCAGGTCTGGTTTGGCCTCACTGCTGCTTCCCATCACAAGCAATGGCTACCCTCTGCCAGTGGAAGGCAGAGGGCCACACTGTTAACAGCCTTCTTTGTACCTGTGTTCAGTGGGTGCTGAGTTCTTGTCCTGTGTCCAAGAAGAATGAGGTTATGCTGACAAAGGATAAGGAGGGTGCAGAAGAATTTTATTGAGTGACAAAATAGATCTCAGCAGAGAGGGGATGTGAGGGTGGTCCCCCATCCAAAGTCAGTTGGTTTCTCTCTCTCAGTGTGGCTGAGTCCGGGTCTTTTATGGACTCAGAATGGGGGAGTGCATGCTGATTAGTTAGTGAGTATGCAAAAAAGGCCAAAACAAAGGCACCAGTGAAAGGCACAACAGTGTAAAAAAAACAGTTAAGGAAGGGTAGGTATTTATAAAATAGGTGAAGGACAGAGATCTATCAGAGGAAAGCATGCCAAACAGGAAGAGAGGTTCTCAGTCTGATCTGTAAATTTACCCAGGACTTGTTGCTGGGGTTTAAACTATCTTTTACTTGAAGGTCAGTTCTTACGGGGACCTACCCCATGTCTGCCTAGTATTTGTCTTCCTCTTGCCACTATCATTACCACATATCATACAAAAGAAAATCAACCCTAATGGGTTACATGGACCTAAATAGAAGCTAAAACTCTAAATTCACTAAAAAAAAAAATTAGAGGAGAAAATCTTTATGACCTTGTAATCACCCAAGGTGTTCATCTTGCCCACTGCCCAGAAAAGCCAATGCACTGAGAACTGCAGATTTTCACAGCAAAGAGTTTAGTAATCACAGGTCAGCCAAGTGAGAGGACAGGAGATAATTCTTAAATTCATCTCTCTGAGAATTTGAAGGCTAGGGTTTTTGAAAGATAATTTGGCAGGCAGAGGGCTACGGAATGGGAAATGCTAAGTGGTTGTGTTAGGGAGGAAATAATGCTGGTGTTGAGACTATCTGTGCAGAGTCAGTTCCTGGGTGTGAGTCACCAGTCCAGGTGGCATCAGTTGTTCCACCAGAATGCAAAGTCCGAAAAATATTTTAAACACCAGTCTCAGGTTTCACAATAACAATGTTATTTATAGGGGCCATTAGGGATATTACAAATCTTGTGACCACCCCTATGTGACTCCTGAGCAGTAAACAATGATTACTTATCATTTATGCATGTGTGTTAGCAGAATTCGGGCCTCTCCCAATAATTCTAATTCTATGGCTTTTCATTAGTTTTTACAAAGGTGGTTTTGATTGCTGAACCAAAAAGACCAAAAGGGGGCTATTATCTTCTTTGCTTTAAGGTTAAACTACAAACTAAATTCTTCCCTTAGTAAGCTTGGCCTAAGCCCAGTAAAGAGCAAAGACAGCTACGGTCACCTTGTAAGGTTAGAAGCAAAAGAGAGTCAGCCATGTTAGATTTTTCACACTTTGCAAAGACAGTTTCAACCTTGGATTAGTCAAATTCTAAACATGACACCAAAACAAGCCATAAAAGAAAAAAAGTTATAAATTGGGCTTAACTAAAATTAGAACCATTTGAGCTTCAAAAGACAGAAGAGAATGAAAAGACAAACCACATGCTGAGAAAGTCAACCTAAGGGAGAAACTGAGGCAAAATTAATATAAGTAGAGAGTTTATTTGGGCCAAATTTGAAGAGTACAACTTGGGAGCATAGATTCAAGGTGCCTTAAATATATGCTCTAATTAGCAGCAATAAAACATGGATTTTTTTTGAGATGGGATCTCACTATGTTGCCCAAGCTGGCCTGGAACTTCTGGGCTCAAGCAATCCTCCCACCTCAGCCAACCAAGTAGCTGGAACACACCATTATACACTGCTTAAGAGTGGATTTTTAAAGGAAAAAAGAGGTAGTCGTCAAGTTGTTTACAAATAATTTATATTAAAATATCATAAGCTATTGATTATACATTATTCTTCATATCACAAATTCCAGGAACGTGAAGATAATAAATGAGACAGCTAGTCAGAAAACTAAAGGGAAGAAACAAAGTTCAGCATACCTTTAAACAACTGCCCCCCAGGGTGTGTGTGTGTGTGTGTGTGTGTTTACATGTTGAGGGTTGGGGAGTATGAGTGAAGTTTTTCATATCTCTTTGGGCCTGATAAATTTTGATAGCTCAGACTACTCTGAAGTATTTTTCTTTCTTCATTTCCCCCTTTTCCATAGAAATTTTTCTCTTCTGAAAGCATTCATGATCAACATTTTAGATATAAATTCCTTCCATATTGCTGGAAAGGCTAATTCCCAGGAAATCTACCCCAAGACAAGGGAAAAAGGGAAGGGAGTGTGACTTAAGAATTAAGTGAGGTTGGCCAGGCATGGTGGCTTCCTCCTGTAATTCCAGCACCTTGGGAGGCCAAGGCAGGTGGACCACTTGAGGTCAGGAGTTTGAGACCAGCCTGGCCAACATGGTGAAACTCTTGTCTCTACTAAAAATACAAAAATTAGCCATGCGTGGTGGCAGATGCCTGTAATCCCAGCTACTTGGGAGGCTGAGGTAGGAGAATTGCTTGAACCCAGGAGGCAGAGGTTATGATGAGCCTAGATTGCGCCACTGTACTCCATCCTGGATGACAGAGTCACCATCTTTAAAAAAAAAAACGAATTAAGTGAGGTCCCAAGACTGAATTCATT